TAAGCAAACATCCCAAAATAAACAAGAAATGCAAAATGTATTGTACAAAACGCCAACTGCTTGCAAGCTAGTAGTGAGAATAACTTAACACTTAAAGTAATATATGGAGGTCTACTTTGAATAAACAGTTCAGAAAGAAAGATGCTCTTTTTTAATGTCATGTTCTTCCATATTCATATTCATTTTACCGGGCATCATTGACCACGACAACAGTGAGGCCAACATTGATTGTGGTATTGCCACACACATATATGCCACGAGGAGAAATAGAAGCTGCTGCTTGTAGCAGTTGGATTTTATCTAGTCCAGGATCACCTAATAATATGGTATCAAACAAAGTTATGTATGCCCTCAGTTATGGCATAGCCTGGGAAAGAATGAAATCCTCAGGAGACAAGACATAATATGTTTACCAACTATTAATACATGGATGCCCCCCCCTACATGAACCTTGTTCTGATCCATTAAATGCTTTTGTACACCTCCAAACATAGCTACAATAATTCTGGTTGTTGATGGAAGAATGATGATGAACCCCTTGATATCTGTAAAGCGGTATTATTGCAGCATTCAAAATGGAATTGAAACATTCAAAATGTGACACAAGTTCGAATTACATCTCAATCAAGGTTAACATTACTATTGAACATATACAATAAATGGAGAAGAGCATTTACCATAATAAAAAGTAGTCACTGCCATTTAGTTAGTGTAAAAGGTATATCCAAACCCTTATTAATTGTTAAGGCCTAATTTACTTGCTTTATATGGGTTCATCCCTTTCATATTAAAAGATTTGACCAGTACTCCATTAGAACTAAAAAACAACACATTGAATAAAATAAACATCTTCGTTGCATATTCATAGATTAGAACCGAATGAATCATGTAAAGACAAAACATTAATGCTTATTTAGGCGTATAAAGATTAATAAAGAAATCTGAGGTTTTGGCACAACTTACAGGGTCAAAGGAGTGACACAGCCAAACTCATTCGATATGTACCAATAAAGTTATGTAAAAATAAGATATAAGAGAACTTTTATTGACTAAAGAGATGCATTATACGTATCACAAAGAAAAAGCTCAACTGAAGTTGTCAATATATATATTTGGAATAAAGCTTCAGATTTAAAACAAAACTCTACATCAAAACCATTAGTTAAAAACATACAAAAAAGAGCCAACTTAAAGCACTCAAATTACCTATGAAATAAATCTTCATATCAATAAACCTATACATAAAAGCAATAATTATAAACTTAAAGTGAATAAGAAATTCCAGCAACACTCGCGTTAGATTCATGGTAAATCCAAAGAAATCCCAAGATGTTTTAATCCAAAATCTTTGAAAATCAGAATCGCATTGAAAGTTGAATAGTATCAAATGCGATTGAAGAAGCCCAATGGAATAGAGATTAGCAAACCCTAAAGCCGTCGTGGCTTTCATAATCGCTAGAAGGGGAGAGCACCCATTAGGGAAGGAATCAACAGGAGCCAAATGGAAATTAACTGATAAAACCTGTAAATCGGAATCTGAGAAGTTGACCGCAAGGAACCCTTTGAATCGACCGGGCTTGGCACTGAACGACAGTTAATCGACGTCCAAGAAAGAGACCAATTGGGACTGCAGTCGATGGGCAGGGATGGGTTCCCTTACCGCCGCTCGTAGGTGGACCTTGATGTGCCGGCCGCCAGTTCGCGCCCCTCCGCCAGCGGCATTGTTGACGCACAGGCGTCGGGAGAGTGAGGAAGACGACGGATCATAGTGAGATGCCAGAGCGTCTCCCTCTATCCCTTGAGCACGGATGTGTGTTGAATCTGAAACGGGAGAGGCAAAAAACGCAAAGTGTATAATAATAAACTCTAGCAGGCCGGCCCGTAAGTAAGATGAATAGTAACATGGGCCTTTAAATATACTCCGTAAAAATGAAAGTGTCACTACATGATCCTCATGTATTTTTGTTAGAAAAGAGTGACACTTTTATGTCATTAATGTCATTTTATCAGAAAGTGTCACTATAAAAGTGTCACTGTAAGCCATTTTTCTACTAGTGCCCTACATGAATTTGGACGCCTCATATATATATATATATACTCAATGAAACTACTCTACTACCTTCCTCGAGTGTCTCCTCATATATCCAGCGTCCCCTCGGCCTTATAAAGGTGTTACTAGAGAGCAAGAGAGAGATCAATTTCAAGTGCTGGAAGAGGTGTATATAGATGATTGGTGCCATTCATTTCAAGATTAACCAATGAGTCCAAGATCATGACCTGCCGTTGAAAGGGCTAATAAAATTAAAACAACAACAAAGGAAAGAGTGGTGTATGTGATCTGCATGAGTAAATAAATGAGCAGATTCTTCGACTGATCTGCAGATTCTCGAACGGTTTGCCCACATGATGTTATGATGACCAAAATATCGGTTAGCAAATTTAATCATGCATTTCTCGCTTATTACGCTATATACTAATGATGATAAGGTTAAAATTATGTAAACGCCCGCATATATTAATTATATGCCTTTAACTTTAATTAATTTATGCCCAGCCCAGCACACCACTTTTGAATCTTTGAACAATCATGACTGGCTTCATGATCAATCAAAACACAAAACATATTCGATCCCTCTGTCCCCATTTGTATCCTAGTTTGCATTTTACACGTGAATTTTAAAAAAATGCAGTTTACATTTATTTAGAAGGAGAAGAGGTAAGTTGATGGTTACAAATCAGTTGTTTCTTTAAAAAATATTACTCCCTTCGTTCCCATTTTATCTTCCATTTCCCATGGGCACACAATTTAAGAAAAGTAGGTATTGTGTGGTGGAGAGTTGTGCAGAGGAGAGAGAAATGTGTAAGAAATGTTGTGAACCACAAATTCTTTACCAAAAGGGGAAAGTGGAAGTTTAATTGGAACGGATGAAAATGGAAAGTTGGAAGATATAATAGGAACGGAGGGAGTATTTTATTTGAAACATATAAAAAAGTGATGATATATAACTCCATTATACTATCCTCCGTTCTTTAATTCTTGCAACACTTTGACTTTCACGTTTGCCAACGCACAACTTTGACCGTAATTATATTTAATTACGGAGTATGTATTAGTAAACATTATAAAAAATTGATATTTTGGAAATTCACATCGATAGGAATTCAATAACATTTTAGTAGAAAATCGTGGTTAAAGAATGGAGGAAGTATTATTAAATAAGGTGACCCTTGCAGCTTGCGAGTAGTCTGGATGGCCCCCAAAACATCTTAATTATTCCATACATATATACTTTGCATAAAGATGATCGAGAAAGTCTTCAAATAAGGACCGACGTATGGCATGCTGTTCAAAATTGTTCTCTTCCATCCATTCAATTACATTTCACCCCAGAAAATTCTTCTCACTTTGACTTGATACGGAGATTAAGAAAGTGGAACAAAGTGGAAATGTGTTGTTGTAGTTGTGTAAGAAAAGTGAAATGAATGTGAACCACATGAATTGTCCAAAAATGGTAAGTGGGAAGATTATTTTGGGACGACCCAAAAAGAAAATTGGAAAGAATTTTATGTGACGGAGGGAGTAACATATACGAAGTATATACGAAACCATATTTATTTTTCAAATACTTTACTAATAATTGAATACAAATTCAATTAGATCTAACGAAACGTATTATTTTGTAAAATTTGTTATTTGCATGTTGTACTTTAATTTCTTTCACTTTATATATCTATTAAGTACTATTAATATATAAGTAAAATAACGTGAATTTAGAAATTGCTCAATATAAAACTAAAATATTTACAAAGTTCTAAAATAGGAGTAAGTAGTACGTTTTAATTTATTCCTAAGCTCAAATATGACTTATTTAGTCTTATTAAGATGGTGAAAATTACAAGGAATACAACAGTTTCTAAATTCACATTTGCAAGAGAGACATACATGCAATTATAGAAAAAGCTAGGTAAAATACTCCATCTGTTCTTTTTTAGTTGCAACGGTCAACATTTCACATTTGCCAACGCACGTCTTTGACCGTAATTATATTTTAATTCTATTAGTAAAAAAAAATTAAAATCAGATTTTGAAAATTTGTAATGAGATGAATTGAACAATATTTTTTTAAAAAAATCATAAAATAATAGCGTAAAATGTAGTCAAAGTAGAGCACGTGAATAGTATAACATTCAACATGTTGCGATTAAAACGGAACGGATGATAGTAAGATTTATATATTTATAGATAAGGAATTACTTTTATAAAGTTTCAAATGTTTTGTTCTGACATCAAACACTCTTAATAACAATTGATTTGGTATCATCTAAAGCAACTCTATTTCATAGTTACAAGTACTCCTCTTCTCATTAACTCTTTTCTTCAAACAAAAAAACAAATGATACGTAGTAGTTATTATAATTGGTGACATTGAGAAAACTTCTCAAGAAATAAGCATGTATAAATCACACAAAATACCAATCACACATATCTAACATTCTAAACGTCAGTTACATTTTTACTTTCACATAACTGTATATGTCACTTTAGAGGTCAGCCTCATTTAGGATGTCTTTAGGAATTAATCATGATTAAGCATGCTGCATTTTTATGCTTTTATATGTAATAGGACTTTTTTATTTAATTAAAAACAGCACTAACATTTATGTAATGATTATTGACTGGCTGTTTGATCCTATAAGATTGAACAACTAAGCTTTACCCTCGATCACCCAAAAAAAGACAGATACCAAGTTTAATTTGGTCTACTTTAATTTGGCTTTCAATCTGATCTGACCGGATGCTAATTACTTTGATGTTCTTTCTATATATGTTTAATTTTCCCTGAAATAATACTTCGTATAATCTAAATGAATATTCACTATGAGGGATTGACAAGAGTAATTTAAGAGCTAGCTACTGAATACTCATATATCTACTAACACATTATTATAGATCGATCATGAATAATATAATGGGCAAGAATGCAATGCAAGATTATACTAGTATATAGCTAGGTAGGATGTAGAACAATGAACAAATTGGAAGTTAAGAATATATTGATCGAATTTGAGGTACAGATGGATAAATCGTCGGAGTCTATGTAGCACGGAAAGGATCCGGAAAGAGTAAGTTTCCGTTTCGGAGACTCTACGGAAACTTTTTAAGAAATCTCCAAACAAGCGTTTTTTTAGTTGACGTTTCGTGGCCTCATGATTTCCAAGTTTGCGTGCAACATACATCGATGAATCCCTTAAGTTGTTGTATGAATGTATATATAGCAACTTAACCGATTCAATACAAGGCCGGCCCGACCATGGAAAAGGAAATGGCAAGGTAAGATACAGCTGCTAGCTAGCTAATTAAGGTAGCTAGTTCATGGAATAATTAAATTCTAAGCAAGTAAATACTAAGCTCAGGAGCCCCATGGCTATCTGGATTCATCATGTACAGTGCCTCTGAATCTCTAGACCCAACAACTCTCTCAAACTTAGCCCTCATATACATTATCTCTCCTCCTTCTCCCCCCTTATTATCGCTGTTACTATGATTTGGTAAAACGCCAGCCCCCATTGAAATGGGCTCCACCGCCTTCAAAACCTCCCATTCTTTCTCACCCGTCTCCCTCCGCGCCGCGAACCCGCATTTCTTCCCGTTGCAGTACGTTCTCCACACCGGCTCCTCCAGAAGCGCCCTCCCCGCACCCGCTCCTCTCATCGTCTTCTCTTCTTTATCGCACTCCAACGCGATCCGGACAAGACCGGATGCCATTTCCCGGACCAGGCTGGCTATCGGGGTGGCCAGCTCCACCAGGAAAACCGGCCTGGAAACGGGGTCCTTCTGGAGCGCCAGGTGGACATGCCCGCTCCGGAACCCGAACAGCGTCCCCACTAGCCTTGTCCCCAGACCCTGATGATGGCGGTGATGGAGGAAGAGTATGTTTCTTCTGTTCCTGCCCAGCATGGTTAGCATCGATTTCAGCCTCGAAACTGCCACTGCTTGTAGCTTCCTGCGCGCCTCTGGCTTCCTTCTCTGCTCGACCTCTTCTTCCTTTGTGCTTACTATGACTGCGGCCGCGGCGTGATTTATGGATATCAGATCGTCTTCCTCCTCTTCTTCATTGCTAACTTTAGACGTCCAATGATGTTTCTTCGATGACAGGTCTTGGATACTATTATTAGCCATGTTTGTCTTTCACCGAAGCAAGACGGACAGTTCACACAAGGTCCTTTTAATAATGGATATGATGATGATGAGAGAGAGAAAGAAATATTCTATCTGCTTTGCTCTTTTTTTGATGGGATCTTTTTGTTTTGTCTTCTCTTGTATCTCATCAGCTCCTCTCGGCCTACTGTATTTGCATACTTTAAAAAATGAATTTTATTTATTGGCAGTGATGAAAGGTAATTTACAAAATGCGGCCGCATATATTTCATTGAAAGTCATGCATAAAACATTGAGAATTGAAGATAAATTTTAACTGTCGTGTCACTTAGGATTCTTGAGGAAACGACTAACAAGCATACAAGGTGGGTTACGTTGAACAAAAAATGGACTCAAAGATAAAGTCCCGGAGGCTCGAAGTAATCTCAACAAATCCTTGCACACCGATACCTTTGTAATTTTCATATGTATGTTTATGTTTTTAGTTAGTTTTGTTGTTTGATACTTTGGAAACTACACATTTTTGGTGTAATATTTTAGTTTGTTAAATTATTTATAATTTATTTAGATTAGGATAATTCAGAGCTTAGGACATGTCAAAATTATCCCAAGAATCAAAGGGTGGACTCTAAAGACCAAAGAATGTGCAAAAGGGAGAAGATCAAATGAAGATTTTGAAATTCGTTCATGTACTCGGTCGAGTATTGCCAATACTCGGTCGAGTATTCATCGGATGTGTTGGTCAAAATCACATCTGGGAGCAAAAGAACGTGGTTGAATACTTGATGGAAATCCGGTCTCATACCCGATCGAGTATCATACAATACTCGGTCGGGTATTCCTATTTTTCGCAACTTCTTGAAAACTACGTACCTCTTGTACTCGGTCGAGTATCCCATATACTTGATCGAGTACAACACTCTGCCATCTCTATTTTGCTATAAATACATCCCTTTTCCTTCACATTAAATTCACCAATTCCTATACACTTCTAAGTCAATTTAGTTATGTACTTTCTTTATAATTTTATCATGTTTAGTCTCCAAATGAGGAGCTAAACTCTTCTATCTTGGTTTTGCTACTTTGAAGCTTAATGGATTGTAAGTTGTGAGTTATTTTTCTTTAATCTTCTTCCTTGAATATTAATTCTTCCCTTAATCTATCTCTATATTAATGTTGGGGAGTGTTGCTAAGATGACAATTAGTTAACATCTCGACATTAATTATAGTAACATTTATTTTCTTTAATCTTCTTCCTTGAATATTAATTAATTCATATTCATATTTCATATTAATATTTTGAACATTACTTAAAGGATCAACTAGTTTTGTTTCATATATTAATTATTACTAGAATCGATTGACGAATACGTTTGTTAATCGTTCGATCTTTTCACGGTAGTAAACTTAGATTATTAATGCATGTGTCTCATGGTTAATAATCTAAGGGGAATTAATTATATTGATTAAACCAATAAACCGCTTGTGTTGAAGTTATCAATCTCAATCGTTTTCATCTTAAGTTTATTGCTACTATCGGGATAATATACGGCGCATGTTCTATATTGGCTCGGTAGTAAATTTTATTAATGAACGTGCCTCGTTATTAATAACTACCCTCGATGAATTGGAGATACTCCTCGATTGAGTATTCGAGAGGAAGAAAGCTAAAGATATAATTGGGATCGACGAACATTTCATTAAGTAGATAAAAGCAAAACCAAGTCCTCATCTCTATTAATTAAACTCATATAAGTCATTCATCTTAGTGTTAATTAAATTAAATCAAACTTAACCCCCCCCCCCCCCCCCCGCTCTTGTTAATAATTAATTAAGAAGAAAAGTATTCTTTTCCTTGTGGATACGAACCTTACTTCGTTATGCTACGTATAATCGTTGTATTGATATTTATTTTGAGTGCACACCACGACAAAGTGCTCGTCACACACAAAATATTTGGTGATAATGTACAGTGTATTGATAATGATGCAAATGTACATTGCATATGGTTATCAATAGAGCAACCCATTTAAAAATTGGCAAAAGAGATATTTAGAGAATCTAAAGGATGACTCCCACACACACACAAAATGCATCTTGGTGTCATCATAAGTGGAACCAATCATAAGGAACATAATAAATGCAACAAAAATTGGGGGAAAGTTGGAGTGACGAGAATATAGAGGAGCACAACGAGACTAAAGAAAAATTCAAGAGATTCGTCAAGGAAGCACGATGAAAAGTGAAAAAAGAGTTGTGTGTACAATTCGGCTTTAAAGAATGAGAAAAGGATATTATAGTCTTGCTCGTCTTCATGATCGTAGGACTCAATATATCAGAAGAGAGAATTCTTTGGATAATGCTAAACCATATACAAATTGCACAAATAAGATTATCATTATTTTCCTCCTAAAATTAAGAGAAACCATTATTTTCACCAAAATTACAAAACTGCCACCGGCTGTACGATGCCAACCGTACATCCGGCTGTATGATATACGCAATTAGTGTGTTACCTTTACCTCGGAAGCTCAGCGTGGCATGATATAGTATACACGTGACATGTAAAAGTTTTGAGTATTAACGTAAACATGACTATTTTCTCCCCTAAATTTCCATATTTTATATTTTAGAAAAAATATGGTATCTTATACCCCTTCGTTCCACTAACAATGGAACAAGAGAGAGTGACACACAAACTAATAAAAAGTAGTTTATGTGTTTTATATTGAATTGATGAAGTAAGAATAAAGCAGAAATAACGTAGAGACACACAAACTTTACCAAATTTCGATTGAGACAATCTTAATGGGACGGATCGAAAAGATATAATGGGACAATCTTAGTGGGACGGAGGGTGCATCTTTTATAATGGTTTTTGGCAAGCACTATTGCATTACGTAGTATGTAATGTTTATAAATACGAAGAAAAATGTGAAAGTTAATAAATCTGAGTAACATTTATGGGAGAGGAATTTAAGTCAAATACATTACTTTCTTGTTTTGTTAAGAGAAATACTACGTATATAATATTCTTGATAAGAAGAAATGGAGTTGATATAAACATGAGAATTTTTATGTACTAATTTCATTTCTTTTGTTTCAATTTGTACAATTGTACATTCTTTCATTCTTCTCTTATGACCCGTTTGGCAACATTTTGCATTGAGACTGATCGAGTGTGAAGCTTAAGAAAGAGATCACTTCTAATGAATGTAAAATATATGAAGAAACATGCATCGTTTGAGGAGGTAATTAAGTAAACACAAGGCTTCATATATATTGGCCTTGGTGAGGAGCAAAAACACTGCATTGTGCAGGGTCGTAAACGAATAAAATAATTTTGGTTCGGTTCGTGATTCGAATTCGAATATGTGTATTCGAATTCGAATAAATAGAATACAAATACGAATACAAATCTAAAATTATATTCGAATGAATTTCGAATACGAATACGAATAGGGTACTATTTGATTCAAATTTTACAATTAAAAAGTTCGAATTCAAATATTCGAATAATTTTCGAATATATTCGAATACACACGAATCAAATACGAATAGAGATTATGGTTCGAATGAAAATCGAATACGAATCCGAATATTCGTGAAAATATACGAATACGAATAATTTTCCTTAGTATTCGGTTCGATCCGATTCGTTTACAACCCTAATTGTGCAGCGTTTTCGGTTATAAAAATATCAGCATTTGGGGGTAAATGCAATTATCCAGATACCTCATTATGTAGTTTATTTATATTAAAAAGTCAAATCAAACAATTAGACTCTTTGAGGCAAATCCAGATTATTAGAGGATTAAGTTAGTGATATGGCATATTATTTTTTGGATCATGATTGAGTATGGAGATTATTTGACAAAATAATCCGGGATTGAAATATGAATTCAGATTATCTCAAGATTATTGTGAAGCTAGTATAAATTAGTAAGTGCATGAGTCACAAAAGATCTGATTATTTTGATATGACGAATGATATAATTTAGAATGTATAAGATTATTTTGAAAAATTTACGTGTCATTAAAAAATCCGTTTATTTTAGTAGCATGAATGTGGATGCTCTTAGGATGTTTTTACAGGGACTGGAATTTTCTAATCTGGTCTGGTATAGTGTGGTGTGATCTGGTTTGATCTGAACTGGTTTGATCTGGTAAATGTGTGGTCTCTGTGTATTTTAGAATTGTTTAAATCTAATCTGGTATGGTTTAGGTTGTTTGGGACTGAAAATAGTCCTAATAAAAACATTTTTATTCTCATATGTTTGTATGTAAAGTGCTACGTATTTACCTCGGGTTCATATTGTGTTAGCCATAGGCAGTGCCGGACACGGCCCACAAAAAAATCAATTTAATATAAATAATCCAGAACTTTAATACATATAAATATTTCTTTCATCGGTTCGTATACGGTGCAACCGGTGCACCTTGAGCATCATGCTCCACTCCCAAAAGCGACGCAGTTTTGCACAATTTAAAAAAAATCGTGTGAACAGTACACGCGTGTACAATAGTTGTTTGTTTTCTTTTTGTCAGATTAGCATGAATGATGTAACTCGCGTGTAAAGATATGTAACTCGCGTTATTGATCAGTGTAACTCAAGTCCGTTATAAATGTAACTTGTCAAATACATAGTATAAGAAATAAAATATTGATTTCAATGTAAACAATGAAAAATGAGAGTCTAATTGCACAATTAATTTAGGTAAAACGGGAATATATTTTGTTTTTAATATCATGGACATAAAAAATAATATTTTAGATAAGATCATTTTTTTGTTTCAATAACAGTTGTTGATTTTTTAATGTAACTCGTGTTATTACAAATGTAACTCGTGTTGATGGCAAATCTAATTTATGTGTATACAGAATGTAATTTGTTGGAAATTGAACAATGATTTTTTTTGTGTTTGAGATATTATTAACATTGATTTCAATGTAAACAATGAAAAATTGATCCTAATAGCTTAATTACTTTTTTATTAATAGTGACTATGTTTTATTTTTAATATTAGGGCAATAAAAATGATATAGCTGGAGT